ACCACAGAGGTCTCCTCATCCTTCTAAGACTGATACACAGAGAACCAAAATCCTTAAAATTTATGTTTCAACAGCACAGTTCTTTTTATAGAAGAATATATTTGCTTCTTGGCAAACAAATATAAATCTTCCAACAATAAAAATTCATTTTTAATTTTTCAAAGTGAAAAATATTTTGACCAGAGTTCACAGTCTAAATAGTTTTAGTGTCAGAAATCACAGACTTACATTACTTTCCTTAATTTAAGCAGGAATGACAAAAGAGAAGTTTATTTCTAATTGAAATAGTACATGAAAGCAAATACCAAGAGAAAAATTCCACAGTGGGCTCAGTTATTCTGACAGTTATTCCGTGGCTTTAAGGTTAAAATACATTCTCTTAATTAAAAAACAAAAAACAAAAAACTTCTTTAAAAAAATGAGAAGATGATGTCTAAAGAAGCTAGATACATCTTACCATATTAATGTAATTCTGCCTTTTAATAAAATGCCATCTGATTTAGTCACTCTATCAGGTTAGCTGTATTTCCCTTGACAATTTAATGCATCTTGCAGTGCCCCTGTGAGTTTGCTGTGCCGCCCGAAACATCTCAGTGCACACTGTGGGAATCTCAGTTCTGCACCGTGCAGTCTGCTTGTGACCAAGCAGCTTAGTGTATGTTTCTTTGAATTCATAGTATTAATTAATTTTCACATATTTGGGGAGATAATATTCAAAGTGAAGTAATCACCTTTTTAGGAATGGATGGCCTTTGTGAAAAATTAGATTAGAATTGACAAATGACCCCCTTGTTGCTACAAAATGATTCTGAAAGTGTTACTGAAAGAATAAAATGATGGATATTTGAAAACTGTTCTTATATAAATTGTGTTATATTTTTCCTGACAACTTTCTGATTAAAATTATTGTGTGGAATCTTAAGAAAGAAAATATGGTATTTCAGCTTCTTTATATAAAATTACATGCATCATGGTTAGCAGAAAATGAATAGGTTTGAATTTTGACTTTTCCTTTAACTAGTCTAAGGCTAAGCTAAGCATAGATAACCATTTCCCTTGCCAGTGATTAGTTTAGGAGTAGCTGTGACCTTCTGGGCTAATTAAATATATTGGGAAAGTCAGCTGTGGGGTCGAGGGGGCACTTCTGGGAAAAGTTTCCTCGCTGATGAAAAGAAGTAACAGAAAGAAATGGTTCTTTCACTGGACACTGCTGTGTCTTCGTGTGGTGTGCTGAACTCTGGCAGCTTATTTTGTGACCATGAGTATAGGTAGCTGAGGACAAATCCAACAAACACAGGACAGCAAAGCAGAAAGAAGGACAGAAGTTTCTGGAGTCCTCAAAGAGGATGTTGAATTAACCAATCCCTGAGCAAATCTTGTCACTTTTTGCAATGAGAGAGTAACTATTCCTGACCTATTAAGCACCCTTAATATTAGTCTTATTCCTTAATTATACAGTTAGTATATTCCTTGGTTAGTTACAGTTAGTCTTATTCCTTAAATATGGATGGTATTTGAACTGAGTCAAGACCCTTATGGGTCTATAGTGTAGGTGATGAATGTGTTTTGAAAAGCCCTCCCAAGTGATTCTTAACACCTTCTTATCTTCCTTCTAATTCTTCTGCCCTCCCATTGAGAACTTCTGGAGTGAGATAGTTATGGAATTGAATTAAGAGGACTTGATTATATATAGGAGTTAAGAAAAGGGAGGGGTCTAGACAGCTACCATGTTTTGGTTTGGGTAACTGGATAGATGGTGCTGCTGTTCCAGGTGATAAGGACTACACGTAAAAGAATTGAGGTGTCTAGGGAACATTCAGAAATTGATACTAGAGAGTAGTTAGATATATAATCCCAGAGTCAGAAATATCTTAACTATAAGACTAAGAGATTGGTAGTTGTAGTTGAAACTGTGGATGTAAACAAAATTGCCTAGGCAGATACACTTCATCAGCATGGAAGAGAGGAATATATGGAACCTTAGAGAACATTAGTGTTTCAATATAGTGTAGGGAAGAAGTAGTTTAAGAAGAGGAAAACAATTACTGGTGTCAATAATGATATGTCTCATTTCATTTGAGATTTTTCTCTGAGAAATTCTAAGACCTTTGTGGTTATTGAACTTTAATTAGGAGGTAAACTCTGCATATTTTAGTTTTTTCAAAAAGTAGATTCTTAAATGCCTTTTTCCTTCTTCTTTGATCAATTTGTAATGCTGAACAGTAGCTTCATGGGATAAAGAGTTATTAATAAACCCCTCAAACACTAGCAGTTTGCTCTCTTCTCTCTCATGAGATCAATTTGACCATAATGCTTATTAATAGAGATCTGGGATATAGTGCCAAAAAGAAAAACCCAATGTATAAATTTTCATCAGTCCTTATTTCCAGTCATTTATATGATGGTAGATGTGTTGTTTTTAGGGTATATGCGCATATATATATATATATATATATATATATATATGCCATATATATATATGTATGTGTGTTTATGTATGCCCTTTGTATTTGCTATTCATAACTGTATATTCTATTTCCTTTTGTTACTACTATTTTTAACGTTTGACGTTTTAGTCAGTGTGTTCTTTTTGTATAAAAATAAAATATTTTAGAGAATTGAGATGACTTAGAAAATTCAAATAATTTTTCTTGGCTGAGGAAATTAGGTATTTCCTGAAAACAAAAGCCTGAAGAAAACAGAAACATAACTTTTGAGGAATTTTATCTTAAAGCTTTCACATAATCTATGGATCCCCATCTAGTGTGCATGTGTGTGTGATATCAAAAACACTTTATAATGGAAGCATCAGACTTTATGAACACTTCCAATACATATAAAAGTACAATTTTCAATTAACATTATTGCTAAAAGAATAAAAAACCTTTTTTGCATGTATCTTATTCCTCCCTTCAACCTCTCTCTCTGTCTCTTTTCTTTTTTAACTTCAGTTTGAATAGCACCTGTAATTAAGGAAGAAAACCCGAGCCCTGGGAGCTAGGTAGGACTTTCAGCTATTGATCTGTGTAAACCCAGCTTATACTGTCAGGGGAGAAACAGTCAACTGCTGAGCTGCTTTGTCACTGACATAAGCTGAGAGAGGATTTTTTTGTCTATACTGTTTATACACTAGTCTATAGACCTGCTGGCTGGTTGAATTTTAAAGAGTGCGGAGGTTTAAAGACTTGTCCCCTGAGGGATGCTTCTGCCAGTTGGGAAGCGAGCTGAGGCTGTTTTGCAGAAGTGTGTGCATGTGTGTTGCTTGTGGAGAAAGGGAGGGGGAGGGTGTGAAAGATTGAGCAACTAACTGGGAAACATTCTTCTTAATTTGAGTCTTAAAACTGATGTGAAATATATTACTAATTTTGGTATATTTAGAAGTAGACAATGAGTTTTGAATACATATCTATTGTTACAAAAATTATATGAACAACTTTGCAAGGGAGGGATTTTAAAATAGTGTTCATATGTATAGTAAATATGGTAAATGGCTTCACTTTGTGTAGTACAAGATAAGGATTAGCAATGGACAAATGAACTTATTTGTAATGAACTGTTTTCAGTTTCAGTAATTTAAATTATTTCAAGTTTAGTGGCTCTTTTAATTACATTTAACAGAATTTTTCAATAGTAAAACAGCTTTTTCTAAATACGGGGTCTGTGCTCATATTTTTAAAGGTATGTGTTCATAAGCAAAGCAGGATACCTTGCCCTAAAGATAGAAGGACTGCTTTTTTGCTTTTCTTTCTGCTTCAATGTCTTAAGGCTTCCTTGAAGCTTCCTTAGGTATTGGCATTGGAATTTTATAATGTTTTTTATTAATTAATACCTTATTGCAGTCTACATTTTAAAAGAACATGATAAATTCTACTTTAAAACACTCAATACTAGGTTTCTGTAGAGGAATTAAATATGCAGGTATTAATGATTTCTCTGGATGTAACTTTTATTGGTAAAGAGGTAGTATTTTTGGTGGCGGTGACTACTGCATTAAGATATTTGCTCTTTTTTTTTTAATAGGAAACGTTCTCATCAATCTCTTTGTCTTATAAAATCACCTGACTTTGAACTTATATGATGTTATTTTCAATTCTAAAGCTTAACTTTAGAATCAGAGTTAATTTTAAGTTGTTTTTCCTATATAAAAGAATAAATCTTTTTCTATTTTTTGCCAGGTGTCTGACAGTTACTCATATTTTGTTATGATTATAACGTGTATGATTTCTAAAGGCTTTTAAAATTATTTTATAATGACTCTATAAAATCACTGCAGGTTATTTTCTATGCTTAATTAAAACACTGATTTTCATATTAGACAATCCATAAACGAAAGTGCACAGAATAGAAGCTATGTTGTTTTAAATTTAAAGGCTTATTTTTAGATACACATTTTTTTAAGGAATGTTATTTGAGATAAACTTAGTGTTGCTGTTGTTGAATTTACCAAGAGTTGAAACATATAAATGTGTTTCTTTAGCTATAGAAAGTCTTTTTTTTTTTTTTAACTGTTTTACTATGGGACATGTAGATTTGTTATACCTCTCAGTAATTCATGCCGCTGCCAACTTCATTCCCTTTTCTCTGCCTGCATTTTAATTGAAACAACATTTATATTTTTGAGCCAGGATCTGTCAGAAGTCCCTGTGGCTAGTCTGTGGTACAAGTAGCAGCAGACGTAGCTTACCCATATGGTGCGGTGCTTCTTGTAAAATCCATATGGCCTTGTTGAAGGGAATCCCAGCGGGGATGTGAAGGGTGTTAATACCCTTCAGGCCAGGCCTTTCCCTCCTGGGGCTTCCGTGGCATTGTCAGTGCAATCTGCCAAAGCACCAACTTAATTCCTTTTTAATAATCAATTATTTTAGTCTAGGAACCTGTGCTATTTTTCTTAAGGAAAAAAAACAAACTTTTTTCCCCCTAGAAAAGGTCTCAAGAAAAAGTTTTAACTGCATCTTTTAAAATATTCTAAAGCTTTTTTTTTTTTTAATTTGCATTTGCAGGAAGTACTACAGAGTGTGCCCAAGTTCTGTTTCCCCTTTGACATTGAAAGGTACAGTATAAGCCATCATTCAAAGTAACTTCACCTCATCCCAGTGAGCACTTTAAAATTGTTTCATGTGTTTTTTAATAAAAAGAAATGTATGTTCTCTTCACTGCTTCTAGCAACAACAAAAAAAGGACCAGAGGTTTAAAATTAAATAATATTTGAAAGGAAGAAGCCTTTTTACATGATTATATCTTTTGTTTTCTCCACTGTGGCCAGTTAGGAGAAGTCTTAAGGTTCCATTACTTCCTTTTGTTCTTCAGGTACATATTGTAAGCACCTGCAGAAAAAAAAAATATTAGTATGTCCTTAATCAGAGCCTTAGAATTGTGTCTTTTAAAATTAGATGTATATATCCTGGTTTCTGTCTCACTTCACCCTAATTGAAAAGACCATCTGTGTGATATTGTAAAACTCTTGGTAGTTGTCTCCCAAGAATAGCTGTATAGAAATAGTGCAATATTATGGAAGGCTGCAGGGAAATCCTCCCAGCAGTTTTGAAAATCTCATTATGTTTGTATTTTACTGAACAAATAATGAATAGAGTATTACCTGTGTGTAGTTGGAATTTCACAGAATATATAGGCCTTTGAACATAAAAACTAATCATTTATTGTTTTTCATGTGATTTTCACACCCTGTTATCAGTTTTTTTAAGAATATGGTATGAGGGGTTTTAAAGGAAAATTTATTTTTGGAAAATACTTCGCTAAAGTAAAGATTAGTAAAAATCTGAAATTTTACAATGTTAAAGATAATGCCTTCTGAATGAGGCTAATTGATACTAGTAAGTATTGCTGATGAATGATACCCCTTGTTTTACCTCCTTCCTGGAGAATCAGCTGTGCTTGTTCAAGTTGCAATTTACAAATTACTAGCAAAGATAAAATACAGGAAGAAAGGCTTTTGAAAGTACATTGTGAACATGGGCACTGGAGGTGTTTTTGAAGTTTGAAAAAATTTTTTCAGAACTGTCCACTTAAATGTGTATTTGTGAAATATTCAGCACTTGAAATGCAGTGTTTCTTGACAATTGCAAACAATTTGTAGTATTGGCACACTGGTAATAAAGCAACTACTTCTTTCTACATAATTCCTGTGGCTATTTCAGAACCAAAATTTAGGTGTCATAGATATTTTATCTTGGGACCAGGAAGCAGATGTTCAATTATGGTTGTCTAATGGCAGAATGATAGCCAGTAACAGAAGTGTGTTTATATATTTTAAATGGTGATACAGATGAAATGTAATGGTTTATATTGCACGTTACACCGCAGTGTGACGCGTACTATAATAGCATGATACTTAGGTCAACAGCTAAAATTCTTTGTAGTAAGCTTTTCTGTGGAAATTGTGTTCTTTCTTTGTGCTTGGAAATTTGTTCTCAGTACGTAGGTAGCTCTAGATGAGAAGGCTAAAAAATGCCAATAGTAATTTTTATGGTGCTTTACTGGGTGAGAATGTCAACAGAAGAAACAATTAAACAGAGGTGGTGGTGGCTGCCATTGGATGCTAAAGCAGCCTGATTTGCTGTCTAAGCAGTCTTAAAATAATATGACAAGAGAGGCTGGAGTTGAGCAGAATCAGTCATCATGTTTTGCTTCTCAGTTCAACAGTCTCAGTAATGGTATTTTCAGATTTATGAAACATTTTAGAAGTACTTCTAGGCATGTGCAGACTTACAGTGAAATACCTTATAATTCCCTACTAAGGGGTTAGTATATACTTAATTGCTCGGCCTGTAAGGGTTACAACTTAATGTGATATTTGGCTCATTATTTAGTTGTTTACACATTTCACACTCATTTTAGTTTTAGAACACAGTTCTAGATTTGAGAACCAACTGATTGAGAAGGTGAACCCAATGGCTCATGTAAATATATTCTTGCTTTGTTTTTCTTTAAGAAAATTCTCACACGAAAACACATTGAAGTTTTATAATATTGCTGTATTTTAGAGTATCTCAAAATCAAGTCGGACAGCATTTTACCTTTGTACTGACAGACATTGAAAGTAAACAGAGATTTGGATTCTGCAGACTCACATCAGGAGGCAAAATTTGCTTGTGCATCCTTAGGTGAGTATTTATAGTAAAAAAAAAATGGATGCATTAATACATTAATTGTGCCTTTCTTTTGTACTTTGTTATGCTTAGGATGCTTAAAAATATGCATATAATATTTTTTTCTTATTTGTTTTCTCTAAATCCAAGTAAATTGAAAAATAACTTTATCTTCTATATAGAGCATCAATTAGATTTAAAGATTTACCAGTAACAGTAAAACTTTTCTTGAAAGAATTGGCTCTTTTAAGATTAGTTTTTGTGGGTTTATTTTTGAAAAATTAAATATTAAGATGTGAGTTTAAATAATATATATTTCACCTATTAAACAGGATGCAAAAAAAATCAATTAAATTAATACATGCTCTTTTCTATCACTGACCCAGAACCTGGATTTTTGAAAGTGAATTACTGCTTTAAGGCAAAGGTTGTAAACTGGTGATTCTGGGCAAAAATGTTTAATAGAGATGTTTTATTTGGCCATATGGTGTTTTAAAAATGTTTGAAGATGTTTCTAACTTTATAAATTTTAGTGAAATTTTGCGTAAAATTCAAGTTTCTAATTCCTTTTGGTAAATGGGAATATTTGCTAATTCTGGTCTTGCACTTCCCAGTAGCAGCAATATGCTAGAACTAAGCAGTGGGTGTTTAGTTGTGTCATGAGTTTAGTACTTTGCCACAAGTCCTACCTGTCCCACTTCCATCGCTTACATCATTTGCCTTGATTCAATAGGTAGTTAAGATTGTGTCTTCTTTTTGTAGACCTAGGATTTGAGATGCTGGCTGTTTACAAGAAAGGATTCTGAAAGTTAGCTCCCCTTTATTATGTCTTGATGAATCAGAAATCCAGATGTATTCCATAAAAATAGGATTCTGTACTGTGATTATAATATGTATATTGGTCAAGGTAGATTCTGTGGAAATGCTTGTAGGAAAAGAAATAACATCTAATTTAATAATTAAAATGTTATAAAGAAAACTTTGGTATAAAATTGATGTTTGTTTGCTATTTAGCTACATTCATATCATTCTTTGAAGTTTAGGTTATAAATTTACCCAGAACATTTGTTAGAGTTGGAGAATTTTCTTCAACCTTTATTTAAAAGTAAATGCTTAACTGCTTTATAAGTGTAGGTAATAGAATGTGGATATTCCTCCATTCTTTCTTTAGGCAACAACTCTTTCATTTGGATAATAATTGTATTTAAAACATATGTTTTATCTGGAAGAGTATTATGCTTCAAACTATAGGTTGATTCTTATAATTTGAAGCCAGTTGATTGTGCAGTGAGAGTGGGGGTGACATGTGGAAAATGGGTAAGGAGGGCTCCTTTTATCATTGTGTTTAATGCTGAAGGTTCAAAAGCTACACTTTAAAGGGGAGTAGAACCTTATCTGCTCTGCCCAAGGCAGGTTTGTCCTAATAGAAAGACCAAAGCTGTAGGTGCTTTCTAATTTTTTTCTATCAATTTTTAAATCTTTTCATTAAAAAAGTCAAGTTTAAAGAAAAGTTTTAGGAATACTACAGTAAACTCTTGTGTATACATCACCGAGATTCACAACTGTTAACATGCTTCTTCCTCTCCTTCCTCTCTCTCTGAGTGCACACACACATACATGCAAATTTTTTGTCTTTCTTTTTCTCTTACTGTTTTTGCTGACCCAGTTGAGAATAAGTTATAGACATCAGTTTTCCGTAATATTCAAACCTGCATTTTACAACTTTACCTCACTGCCTCCAAAATGAGTTCCTGATAGTCATAATTAAAGAGGATGAAACTTTGTCTTTGTTTTGAACTTTTAAAATATTTTGAATACACTGAACCTATTAATAATTAGCAAATAGTGGGGTGCCTGGGTGGCTCAGTCCGTTAAGTGTCCAACTTTTGGGTTCAGCTCAGGTCGTGATCTTACAAGTTGTGAGATGGAGCCCCACACTGGGTTCTGCACTCAGCGTGGAGTCTGCTTGAGATTCTCTCCCCCTCCCTCTCCCTCTGCCCCTGCCATTCGTTCTCTCTCTCTCTCTCTCAAGTAAGTAAGTAAATAAATAAAATCTTAAAATTCAGCAAATAGTTACTAAATGTTCAGAATAGTCCCTATAAATGTGCTTACAGAATAAACTTTCTCAGAAATTTCTGTTTAAATTTAGGAAAGCCTATGTTACCTAAAAGTATCTACACAAAAAATGAACTGTAGCTATTTGTTAAATTCCTGAAATACTGGTATAGTGTTCATATCTCCAAACCAGGGGTCATTAATTTGTAGGAAACAGATTCTAAAACTGTTACAGTAATCAAGTTATTGTTATCAAACTTGCGTATGTGGAAGAACACCAGAGTGTTGTAGTACTCTTTGAATTAGGAAGGTTTACCTGCAGAAAATAAGGTTATGTTACATAAATGTAATAAAAAAGTAAAATCATATATGCCAATAAAGAAAACGTTTCACAATATGCATTATTGGTTATTTTATCTTTTTTAAAAAAAGATTCCTTTTCTGTTTATTTTTGTCATGTGACAGTTCTTTCTGCTAGATAAGAAATAGGTAACAAAGCTTTATGAAAAAAACAGAGGAGAATCTTAAATTGAGAAAATTCTACTCTCCAACTTATTTTTTACTAGGAAATTTTTATTTATTTATTTTTTATTATGTTATGTTAATCACCATACATTACATCATTAGTTTTTGATGTAGTGTTCCATGATTCATTGTTTGCGTATAACACCCAGTGCTCCATTCAGTACGTGCCCTCTTTAATACCCATCACCAGGCTAACCCATCCCCCCACCCCCCTCCCTTCTAGAACCCTCAGTTTGTTTCTCAGAGTCCATAGTCTCTCATGGTTCGTCTCCCCCTCCGATTTCCCCCCCTTCATTTTTCCCTTCCTACTATCTTCTTCTCTCCTTTAAAGATATAATGTATTACTTGTTTCAGAGGTACAGATCTGTGATTCAACGGTCTTGCACAATTCACAGTGCTCACCATAGCACATACCTTCCCCAATGTCTATCACCCAGCCGCCCCATCCTTCCCACCCCCCACCACTCCAGCAACCCTCAGTTTGTTTCCTGAGATTAAGAATTCCTTATATCAGTGAGGTCATATGATGCTTGTCTTTCTCTGATTGACTTATTTCGCTCAGCATGACACCCTCCAGTTCCATCCACGTTGTTGCAAATGGCAAGATTTTACTAGGAAATTTTTAAAAGATTGCCATCTCATGATTTTAATGGCATAACATAATTTTTGTCCTTAAAGGCAGTGTACCACGTTGAGAATAGCCAATATTTAGTTTTAATAGTGAAAGAGATAGTAGTAATGGAATTCAGCAACTTATTCAGAAAGCTGTTATAGATAGGAGAATACCTATTTTAAGCTGTAATTAATGTATGTCTGTGAAAATAATTTTAACAAATCTCTTAAGTGCTGTCGTAAGAGGAATGATGGTGTTTTGGGTCCTGGTTTGTCTATGAACAAGACCAGGTCTCCCCCACTTTAGATTTAACTTTATAATTGTTGAAAGAAAGGATAAAACTTTAAATGTACTGGAAAAAATATTGTTGATTTTAAAAATTTACTGTAGGGGCGCCTGGGTGTCTCAGTCAGTTGAGCATCCGACTCTTGGTTTCAGCTCTGATCATAATCACAGGGTGAGATTGAGCCCCATGTCAGGCTCCACACTAGGCATGGAGCCTGCTTGGGATTCTCTCTCTCTCTTTCCCTCTCTCTCTGCCCCTCCTCACCCCCTTCTAAAAAAATAAATAAATAAAAATAAAATTACTGTAGTCATAAGTGCCTTTATATGCCTACCATTGAATCTTGAGGCCAAAAAGATTGGCATCTTTGCCTGTATGATGATGAAAGATTTTGTTTGATGACAAATATAATAAGGAAATTAAAGATACCAATAATGAACTGGTAGGAATATATTTACAACCACTGTAACAGAGTTAATAGCTATGATACATAATAAGTAGCTACAAGTTAATGACACAGAACCGAATAGAAGAATAAGGAAAACATCTGAGTAATATATTCATAGAGGAAATTTAAATAGTATATATACCTGTGAATGATGCTCAGCCTTACTAAAGGTGAAAGAAATGAGCATATTAAGATTGAAAGAAATGAAATAAAAAAAAAATAAGCCTGTGGGGAAACAGACATGTCATGTCAACTGTGTGGGGGACTTTTATAAAATGACATAACCTTTAGAAGAGAAATTTAGTAGTATCTATCAGATTTATAAAATCTCATACTCCTTGACTCAGTTCTGGAATTTTAAATATCAGGAATATTCCCAGTAGTGAGCAGTAAAGTGTATATAAAGTTATTTATTATAGCATGGTTTATAATAGCAAAATAATGGGATGTAAATGTCCTTCAGTAGGAATTTTTGGTACATTCCCTGGTCAGTTCCCCCTGCCTCTACCAGAATGTTCTCTGTTTTTTTCTCTGTTTTCCACAACATGTATGGTGATTTTCTCAGTGCCTACAATAGTGCCTGACACATAATGAATTCTTAATAGATATTTGTTTAATAAATAAATTAATGAATGAATGACAAACAGAATGGAATATTATTTATCTATTGGGGAAAATTATATACTAATACAGACTCTAACTCAGAAATGTTTATGAAAAATTGTGAAATGATGAGAAGTGTCAAAGTAATATTTATGGTATGTTCTTACATTGTAAAGAACAATTTATATATGTATGTAAATGTATCTACTTTAAGAAGTAGCTGATGTGAAAAATTTATATATTAATATATGAGTGTATATACTTATAAAAAAGACTAGAAAGATAGGTCTCCAATTTTTTTTTTACTTTATACACTTCAGCATTTATCCATTTTTTTGCAATGTATGAGTCATTTTAATCATTTTCTCCCTGTCCTAAAATTCTCAGATGTTAGAACTATAAATAGCATATTAAAACTGTGGGAATTTAACCAGATCATCTTTTGTCAGGTAAAATATGTCATCTGTTTTCAGGATAGGAGATTATTT